AAACTTGTGCCCACTTTTAAGCGAATGCACGGCAACTTCGGATAGCTGATCGCGCTTCTTTACCGCTAGCTGATGTACATGTATGCGTGTAGAGGCGGACCTTCCTGTTTGTCCGCAGTAAATTACATCGCAGTCCCCGCAAGGAATTTTATAAACGACCTCTTTTCTGCTCAAATATCCAACCCTATCCTCAGAGTATACAAGCTGCTTTCGAAGTGTGGTCATTGATTGGTGCGCCACGTGGATCTGGTACTTCCTCAGGTGTCCTTCAACGAGTTCAGACACCTTTTTAATATATGGAAATATTTAATTTATATTAAACCACAAATTTCGTGAGATATTTGGGGCTTAATTTTTAGGGATGCCCGTAAGACAGTTTTGCCTGTGTAACTAATGGGCTCACCTATTAAAGCAAATGCGTAAATGCAAAATGTGAAATATGTTGGATCCCCCTCTCTCTCCCTTTAAAATGCGTGTATGTAACAGTCGCGGAAGAACCTCCTTTTCTTGATTTGATTTCTCCTTCGAGGTCCGCATCAAACCTGATATACTGCATCCACACCGCTGGCGAACGGCCACTCCTAAGGTACGTTATCAGACGTGGTGGGCAAAGGTTGTGCTGAAAAACCGGCTATGACCGGCGTCATTTTTCACATGTAAGCCCTCGCCATTGTGATCCCCGATCCTCAGTGTTTGGGCTGACTAATCCCACATCCAACCCAGCCAGCCACTTGCTTATGCTAGCAGGCGGAAGTAACACAAACGGGTTATCACGCGTTCCCCAAATTCCTTTCTTGTTCTAACCCAAATGTAGACTGCCAAGTCACGGTACCACCACGGTACCACGGTACCACCATGTGTGACAAAGTAAAACAAAAAACTATTTTGTGATTAAACTCACGTTGCTAGTCGTGGAATTTGTAGCTCAACTGGTAGAGCATTGACTTCGTGTTAAGTCCGTCCCTAATATGCCGGTTTTAAATCCCGCCGAATGCCGCGAGTTGTTTCATAGTTGGCTCAAATTAATCAAAAACTATTAGCAAACAGGTCAAGCTGATTGTATTTGATTAGAGTTGACTGAGTCCATGACAAGTAAAAATTGCGGGGAAGACGACTCGATCGCTGGGACAATAGGTTTATTCGCCTGACGTATCGAGATCCGTCGCGCATTCGTCATCAGAGACATTTTTGGATGCAGGCAGCCTATACACAGGAGTTTGCAGTATTTATAGGATACACTCATAACTGCAAACACACAACGGTAATTAACGCACTTTGCCTTTATGCGTGTTAATAGCTTTTTTGAAGAGCGTGCGGGCTCTGACCTGTTGAACTTTTATTCCGCGTGGTCGACTCGGGCGCGTTGATTACACGGCCAACTGACCCTCTGGTTTTGGCGTAGGATGACGCGGTGGCCTGTCCGTTCCCCAAGCGGCGACATGCATTGGCCAAATAGAGTCTCAGTACTGAATATGGATTGCGAAAATCTTTGCCATTCTTGATGGATT